TCCGCACAAAGTATGAGACGAGAGTCAGCAACAGATTCGAAATGCTGACACATACTATCTTAATTATTATTGACGATATATCATATCAATGGAAAAAGGAACTTATTAAAATGTGTAAGTGTACACCGGAGCATTCAGAAATAATGTATCCTTTCCGCACAAAGTATGAGGGGAGAGTCAGCGACAGATTCGAAACGCTGACACATACTATATTAATTATTATTGACGATATATCATATCAATATACTAATATAGGAAAAATTAACTTATTAAAATGTGTAAGTGACGCACAAAATTCTGCGTGCTATCATAACAGTGCACTAAATTCTGTGTGCTACCATAACAACAAATAAACACGAGACAATAAATGTGGCGTACTGTGTATAATTCGTCTTGTAATTTATGACTAATTATGGGCTGAAGTAAATTATTAAAGTACACTGGGATGTATATTGCATGCATTCTGTTGGTAAAGAATATTCTGCGCTATTGCTTTATACGACAGCCACAAATACGGTAAAAAAGCTGTCAGGTACAAATTCATACGTAAGTGCAACAGGACAAACCAAATCGAAACACCCAGCAGACAAGTGCACAGAACACTATGTGATACTTTTCAATCCACAAGCGATAGGGTCAACATTAGCCATCGAAACTTACCAAAATTATCGCATAATTCAAATACGGACCGCTGAGTGTATATTGCGGAGAACTCTCGAGAAAGAGTATTCATATAGTGCAGGAAAACACGCTAAGGCAAAAGGTAGACAGAGCTCGAAATAAAAGAGTCCATTTCATAAGGGGGAAGAAATGCTCCTGCGAAATCAAGGTTCTGGTGTACTGGGATTGACCTTGTTTATAAACCAATTTAGGCTTGCATATTGCATCTTCTGATGTTCAACATGTACTTCATTGACTGGTTTCATAGGAACGAAGAATACATAATACACGAATATTTCTCTTTGATATCTCCGGAACTCCAGAACTACAGAAAAAAACAATATCTAAGCGAATTAATTTACACTGCTTGCTGGGTAGACGACTACATGTATATTCCAGTGGCCCGACATCTTCAGTGGCGAAAAACGCACAATCCATACCACACTGGGTGACATCGAAATCATAATCGTTGAAAGAAAGACAATAGGAAGGAAGATCATTGTCCCATGCATGGGAGTTTTTTTCTCGATCTCGCACTCAGAACCGTGGGTATCTCACCTAAATATAAGGAAAGTTATTTCGCGATAGTTCATATCTGGAAATTCTGTACTAAAGCAACAGTACTGAACATTGCTACTTTCATGGTAAGATCGCTGTCGACCACAGCCATCCTGATCTAATTACATTCCAAACGCTTGTACTGGCTCATACCACCCGCACGATACGAATAGAAATCCATGCACGAGCGACGAAATCCACAGAAAATCAGAGACGATAAGCCTCTGTCACACGTATATTTACAGACTAGTGCGGCACATGTCTGATCAGCCGCCCAACTCTATTACGCGATAGTAAAATCGAGCCTCAGACCTTAGACAGAGATGTCTATTTCCACTCCTGGCGGTCTCTATACAAATCCTGCGTCCGCATCATCTACGGTAGGCAACAGACCTCGACCGAGAAAGGAACCTGCAGCGTATCACCGGGGCTCTGGAGCTCAAGCAGGGCATCTACTGCGTGGGAACACGTCGAATACAGCTACCAATAAAAATAGACACATACATATAAATATGTGCATACCATACTTTCCGCAATCGCGAAACATGAAGTTTCAACCACCCCAAGATGTTGGACCTACTCCGACCACTAAATAAATAAATAAAATTCGAGTTCGACGCGGAGGTCAAGCGTGCTATAACTCTACGAAAATAAATAAATGGGAGCACGCCTAGTCCTCTACATGGCCCCATCTCTGCATGCGTACGAGAAGAAGAAAACAGCCGGAAATACCAGTGTACTGGGCACAAGAATATTGTTGTATATTACGTTAAACAAAACCATTTTTAATTTAGTCTAGATAGTAAACAAAAGTTATGTAAAACATTGTATGTACTATTTTTGTGTGTGCCCTAGTTCAAATGATGGGTCGGACTGTGACAAGTTTTCTTTCCGAGAGCTGGATGACACGTATGGCCGCTGGATAACAGCTATGTTCCGATTATGGGGTAAAAAAAAATCAAAATCGTATACAATTAATGAATCTTTCAGACATTGGCCTGGGGTTCAAATCTATATAATATCTTTTTGGCACTTTCGATTAATTCCAGTTTCCACTAATTTATATAGCTGTATCTCTGTACTGTTTGCGTTACTTTCCTTACATTAAATGGGCAGTGACTTTTTGATTGATTACTATCTGTTGCGTAGTCATAGTTTGCTCTTGTCATTGAAGTTCTTACTGATAGTAAGAATATGTTGTTAGGGTGCAAGTTGAGGTTTTAATAATACAGCGTACAGGCATTAAAGCACTCTGGGTTATAGTTAGTAGCAGATGAAACGGTCCAAGAAAGCATACCTGATAGTGATTGCGAATGAACAAATCATACACAGTGAAGACAATCATAAATCAGAGATTGGAGATTTTCGAAGTTGGCTGGAAATCTTTGTTCGAACAAAAAAGCAAGTTCCGACAGCGACCCCATAATATTCCTGCTAAACTGTTCCGTTTACAATTTATAGGCCTGCTTTCTTGATATTACAGACTAATACACACGGGCTCAATGTGCTGAATAGACATCAATATGCAAGCAGGTCAATAAGGCGCAATTTCAACATTTAATTGCGACAGTAGAAATGCCGTAAGGGAATTTAAGGGGTGGCAAGGAATATCCAATCTGTCATTCGGTGAATTGTACACGAGCTAAAACAAACTTTAAATCAGTGCTAGCCAATTTTTAAAAAGAGAGCGAGCTGTTGGTGGTGGTAAAATATTACTTGCCCTGCAGGGTCCATAGTCATTAAAATGCTTTGGCCTGCCGAAAATGTTTCCAATAAAGGTGAACAGTTATAGATCTTACGTGTGACATACGGCAGTTAATCCCGGTATCAAACATCTCTCGTAAAAGATTGATTCTGAAGCGATCCAACATATATAATGCATAAGCGAACACCTTGCCAATCTCTTTTAGAATTTGATCGTCGTTGTTGGCCTGTTCTGACACACTTGTCACGTGGACACACATTGCTTGCTTAAACTGTACGAAGCTAATAAAGATCTCGTTGTTATTCGTGAGCAAATATCTTCTCTAGCACAACACGGAAGGCAAGGAACGCATTGGCCGATTGAACACTGAATTACCTGGATATGGCACAGTTATATGTACGTACGTAGGGTGAGTGTAGACGGGGCAAGCGTGCGGATAGTTGGAACGAGCAACAAAAGTGTGCCATTCCAGGCAGTAAGAAATTTTTTTTTTTTGCCATTCCAGGCCGTAACTTAACCATTTTTTTTTTGCCATTCCAGACCGTAACTTAACCTATTTTTTGTATACTAGTCTGTGATGTGCCGTTGCTTTATTGCTACGAGAAGAAAAGTTCGAGCATCCTATGAGGTATGTCACTCCGTTTTATTTGTGGACCGATTTTGCACAATGTTCCTTTATTGGATACGGAAGCTGTCTATCGCTGATACCATCTCCACAATCGATTCAAGATTGAGCATAAACGCCAAGGTCGCTGCAAACAAAAGGTTGATAATGTATTTTTAGAGTGTGTGTATATAATAAAAAAACCTTCGACATGTGAAATAGCAGGTGTCGAGTGCAACTAGCGCGGCTAAAACCATTGATTTTTACTATGCACCTACTGGCGGTCCTAAAACCCAGCCACGTGACTGATATCGAAAAGACGCCTGTACTATCTATATCGTATTAATTGGCATATGCAATCTATCTGACACGATTCTTCTCTTTAGACAGAGAAGCACTCGCTCATTCAGACCTGTTTCATATATCATACTAAAACCTTACAAGCAGATTGATCCTACCTGGATGTACCCAATGTTCATCAAGAAGCTCATTTTCTAACGCCAGCTGCAAGAAAACAAGTGTCTTTTTACATATCAGATCTTATTACATATCAGATTGTGCGCACTGTTACAATGGTGGAATGATTTTCGTAA